CGCTCACTCACTCGCTCGTTCACTCAGTTACTCACACAGTCACTCACCTACTCACACACTCACACACTCACTCACCCACCCACTCGCTCGCTCACTCACTCACTCACACACTCACCCACTCACTCACCCACCCACTCACTCACTCACCCACTTGCTCGCTCACTCACTCACTCAGTCACTCACCCACTCACACACTCACACACTCACTCACTCACCCACCCACTCACTCACCCACTCACACACTCACTCACCCACCCACTCGCTCGCTCACTCACTCACTCAGTTACTCACACAGTCACTCACCCACTCACACACTCACCCACCCACTCACTCACCCACCCACTCGCTCGCTCGCTCACCCACTCACTCACACACTCACCCACTCACTCACTCACCCACTCACACACTCACACACTCACACACTCACCCACCCACTCACTCACCCACTCACTCACTCACTCACCCACTCACACACTCACACACTCACCCACCCACTCACCCACTCACACACTCACTCACACACTCACACACTCACCCACTCACACACTCACACACTCACTCACCCACCCACTCACTCACCCACTCACCCACTCACACACTCACTCACACACTCACACACTCACTCACCCACCCGCTCACTCACCCACTCACCCACTCACCCACTCACTCACCCACTCACACACTCACACACTCACTCACCCACCCGCTCACTCACCCACTCGCTCGCTCACTCACTCGCTCACTCACTCACTCGCTCACACACTCACTCACCCACCCACCCACTCACCCACTCACACACTCACACACTCACCCACTCACACACTCACGCACTCACACACTCACCCACTCACCCACTCACACACTCACCCACTCACACACTCACACACTCACACACTCACACTCACTCACTCACACACTTACTCACCCACTCACTCACCCACTCACACACTCACTCACTCACCCACTCACTCACCCACTCACTCACCCACTCACTCACACACTCACACACACACTCACACTCACTCACCCACTCACTCACTCACACACTCACCCATTCACACACTCACACACTCACACACTCACCCACTCACACACTCACTCACTCACACACTTACTCACACACTCACTCACACACTCACCCACCCACTCACTCACCCACTCACTCACCCACTCACACACTCACTCACCCACCCACCCACTCAGCCACTCACACACTCACACACTCACCCACTCACACACTCACACACTCACCCACTCACACACTCACACACTCACCCACCCACTCACTCACTCGCCTACCCACTCACACACTCACTCACCTGTCCACCCACTCACTCGCCTGTCCCCCCCAAACCCCCCACCACCACCTCCTCCTCCCAGCCCATCATGGGCCGCTCCTCCCACGACACCAGCGGTGTCATCGTCACCGTCAGCGGCATCAGCAGCATCAGCAGCAGCATCAGCAGCAGCAGGATCATCGCCGGCGCTGTCTGCTGCTTGACAGCGAAAGCCTCCACCACCTCCACCACCTCCACCACCACCACCTGCACCTCCTGCTGCACCACCTGCACCACCACCTCCACCTCCTGTTGCACACCCGCTGCTGGTGCCACCCGTGCCAGCTTCTACCTGGGCACCCGGCGCTGCCACACGGACAACAAGAAGCAGCAGCAGCAGCAGGGAGGAGGAGGTGGTGGAGGTGATGGTGGAGGTGGTGATGGTGGTGGAGCGTTGATGCCGTACCGTTCACATTCCCCGTCAGCGGTTGCCGCGTCGAGTGAATGGGCAGGCGGCGGTGGTGGTGGCGGTTATTCCCACCACCGCCACCACCGCCACCACCATCATCACGTGGGCGGTGGTGGTGGCGGTGGTGGCGGTGGTGGTGGTGGTGGTGGCGGTGGCGGCACCGCCCGGCAGATCATCCACAGCGGACACTTCATGGTGTCGCGTCCGCACAGCGACGAACATCGACGCAGGTTCCGTCACGCCGGCGGTGGTGGCGAGGGCGGTGGTGGCGGTGGCGGTGGTGGCGGCGGTGGCGGTGGTGGCGGTGGCGGTGGGGAGGCGGGGGGGGGGGAGGCGGGGGGGGGAGGGGCAGGGGGGAGGGGCCGAGGGGAGGGGCCGAGGGGGGGGCGATGGGCGAGGGTCGACTTTGTGCACCTACCGCTACGGGCCGCGGGCCTCGTCGCGGCTCTCCATCGACGCGTCGCTCACGCGGCTCTTCGAGTGCATGAGCCTCGCCTACAGGTAGGGGCGACACGCTCGCTGAGCCACTCACTCACTCACCCACCCACTCACGCGGCTCTTCGAGTGCATGAGCCTCGCCTACAGGTAGGGGAGACACGCTCGCTGAGCCACTCACTCACTCACCCACCCACTCACGCGGCTCTTCGAGTGCATGAGCCTCGCCTACAGGTAGGGGAGACACGCTCGCTGAGCCACTCACTCACTCACCCACTCACTCACGCGGCTCTTCGAGTGCATGAGCCTCGCCTACAGGTAGGGGAGACACGCTCGCTGAGCCACTCACTCACTCACCCACCCACTCACGCGGCTCTTCGAGTGCATGAGCCTCGCCTACAGGTAGGGGAGACACGCTCGCTGAGCCACTCACTCACTCACCCACTCACTCACGCGGCTCTTCGAGTGCATGAGCCTCGCCTACAGGTAGGGGCGACACGCTCGCTGAGCCACTCACTCACTCACCCACCCACTCACGCGGCTCTTCGAGTGCATGAGCCTCGCCTACAGGTAGGGGAGACACGCTCGCTGAGCCACTCACTCACTCAGCCACTCACTCAGCTACTCGCTCAGCCACTCGCTCACTCGCTCGCTCGCTCAGCCACTCACTCGCTCGCTCACCCACCCACTCACTCACGCGGCTCTTCGAGTGCATGAGCCTCGCCTACAGGTAGGGGCGACACGCTCGCTCAACTCGCTCGCTCACTCACTCAGCCACTTACTCATCCACTCACTCGCTCAGTCACTCACTCGCTCGCTCACCCACCCACTCACTCACGCGGCTCTTCGAGTGCATGAGCCTCGCCTACAGGTAGGGGCGACATGCTCGCTGAGCCACTCACTCGCTCGCTCACTCACTCACTCAGCCACTTACTCATCCACTCACTCGCTCAGCCACTCACTCGCTCGCTCACCCACCCACTCACTCACGCGGCTCTTCGAGTGCATGAGCCTCGCCTACAGGTAGGGGCGACATGCTCGCTGAGCCACTCACTCGCTCGCTCACTCACTCACTCAGCCACTTACTCATCCACTCACTCGCTCAGCCACTCACTCGCTCGCTCACCCACCCACTCACTCACGCGGCTCTTTGAGTGCATGAGCCTCGCCTACAGGTAGGGGAGACACGCTCGCTCAACTCGCTCGCTCGCTCACTCACTCACTCAGCCACTTACTCATCCACTCACTCGCTCAGCCACTCACTCGCTCGCTCACCCACCCACTCACTCACACGGCTCTTCGAGTGCATGAGCCTCGCCTACAGGTAGGGGAGACACGCTCGCTGAGCCACTCACTCACTCAGCCACTCACTCAGCTACTCGCTCAGCCACTCGCTCACTCGCTCGCTCGCTCACTCGCTCAGCCACTCACTCACTCACCCACCCACTCACGCGGCTCTTCGAGTGCATGAGCCTCGCCTACAGGTAGCGGAGACTCGCTCGCTGAGCCACTCGCTGAGCCACTCGCTCGCTCGCTCAGCCACTCACTCGCTCAGCCGCTCGCTCAGCCACTCGCTCAGCCACTCACTCACTCACCCACCCACTCACGCGGCTCTTCGAGTGCATGAGCCTCGCCTACAGGTAGGGGAGACACGCTCGCTGAGCCACTCACTGGCTCACTCACTGAGCCACTCACTCGCTCAGCCGCTCGCTCACTCGCTCGCTCACTCGCTCATCCGCTCACTCGCTCGCTCGCTCAGCCACTCACTCACTCGCTCAGCCACTCACTCACTCGCTCAGCCACTCGCTCACTCAGCCACTCGCTCGCTCACTGAGCCACTCGCTCAGTCACTCGCTCGCTCACTGAGCCACTCACTCGCTCACTCAGTCACTCGCTCGCTCACTGAGCCACTCACTCGCTCACTCGCTCACCCACTCATTCACCCACCCACACACTCACGCGGCTCTTCGAGTGCATGAGCCTCGCCTACAGGTAGCGGAGCGACGCTCGCTGAGCCACTCGCTCGCTCACTCACTGAGCCACTCGCTCAGCCACTCGCTCACTCGCTCAGCCACTCAGCCACTCGCCCACTCGCTCGCTCACCCACTCACTCGCTCACTCGCTCAGCCACTCACTCACGCGGCTCTTCGAGTGCATGAGCCTCGCCTACAGGTAGGGGAGACACGCTCGCCCGCTCGCTCACTCACTCGCCCGCTCGCTCACTCACTCGCTCGCTCAGCCGCTCGCTCACTCGCTCGCTCACTCACCCACTCGCTCACTCACTCGCTCACCCTCTCACTCGCTCACCCACCCACACACTCACGCGGCTGTTCGAGTGCATGAGCCTCGCCTACAGGTAGGGGCGCCATGCTCAACCGGGGGGGTCGCTCGCTCAGCCACTCACTCAGCCACTCACTGACTCAGCCACTCACTCAGCCACTCACTGACTCAGCCACTCACTCACCAGCTCGCTCACTCACCCGCTCGCTCACTCGCTCACTCGCTCACCCACCAACTCACTTGTCTACCCATTCACTCACTCGCTCACCAGCTCACTCACCAGCCT